TTTCTCTCTGCAATTTAGATGGATTTATAATCCTGCAAATTGCATTAAAATTTTGGCTAGATAGTTGCAAGATCACTGCAGTACCATTGCCACCAAACAAATCAAGTAGATATAACACAGCTGTTTTGAAATAATCACTTCATGTGTTCCTGTCTTTAGTAGTAGAGTTTCCCGTTCTTTCCATGCAGATGCATCAATTACAGATGATGACTGCTCTGTGTTTACCACCCATGAGGGAGACTGTTGTATTTAGTGACAGTGTCATATCATGCTGTCTACTCTCCACACAATGTCAAACTCTGCCTTTATACACACAGATATTTAGTGTGTACCAGCCAGAAGAGATGTGTTGTAAGTGTTGTGTTATGTGCTCGTGACCTCAGGATTCTGGCTACGTGTGTCATAGTCTCAAATGTCCTTTTAAAAAGTTTTTCTTTAGCTTTTTATGAGTTTTGGTGTTTTGTTTTTTACCTAGTTTGTGTGTCTCCTGTTTTTGGCTTTCTCACTGTCTGTCTGCTTGCATTGTCTCATTTGGTAATTGCTTTCTTTGTCTTTAGATGTTAATTTTCTGTCTTTGTCTTCTCTACCATCTTCAGGATTGGTTGGCATCTAATTAGTTTCACCTATATTCTGTTAGTTATGTAGTTTTCTATTAGTTTTTTTTTCTTTTCTTCAATCCCCTGTGTGTGTGTTTTTTTAACCTCTTCCTGCATCAGTTGTTGGGATCTGATTCCTAGTGTATCCTAGTATATCATTTAGTATCTCAGCAACTCCCCTGAAATCCCTTCAGATGATTTGTCTACATATATAAGTTCAGTAACATTGCCTCATAGTTGCCTTGTAATTCACTGTATTTCATTTCAAAAACCCAGTTTTTTAATTCTGTTATTTTTCTGGTTAATTTTTCATTTGATAGTGTCTATCTTCATATGACATTCACAGAGATATTCATCAGGCAGCTTCTGTAATGCTAAGCAAGACATGAGTTATCGTTTAGGGCAATGTGGAAGTAAAAACTACTGAATTAAGTTCTTGTTGGGATGACTCCAGGCAAGGAAATCCAGAACTAATTTGCTGTAAGTGAAAAATTCCATATAACCTTCGACCGTACAGGCTGACCCACATACAGCCTTTTGTCTAGCAAAAATTCCCTTTGAGACTGATACTACGGTTTAGAGCCTGTTTGTGTGATTTCATACTGAAAATAAGATGATACAGTTGTAGAATAATAATTTGAAGATTTCCAAACACACTGCTTGATCTGATATTGTGCTGTGATCTGTGCACAAACACAAAGTTGAATAACTTTCTCCAGTGTGGTGCTAACATGCAATTTTCCTCCTGGCTTTTAACTATTAAGTGTCTGACTTGATGTGTTCATAGCAACTACTACTGAAAGACCATGTGATTGGTTAAACAGTTGTGCTCGTAAACAGTTTCTTTGGAATGTTGAATGACATACACCAATCAACAATGCAGCAGCTCAACTGGATGAACCAGATTCCACCAAAAAGCTTCAACATAATAAGAAGGATTTTGACAAATCAGTGGTTCAAATTCTAAAGTAGTTTCAGACGTCTCTGCTTCTGTAATGACCAGCTCTTAACTTGTTGACTGGTTTATGTGCCCCTCCAGCATTTCATGTGCTCATAATGACAAAGAGTATCATGTCAGTTGTTTCTCTTCAGCCTTGCTGTAAAAATACTTGCAACTAGTTTTATGGACTCATTGACAAAAGAGTGGAACAATCAATGCAACTGCTTTCTTTCAGCGCTGTCACAATGCTCCTGTTGTTTGTCAGCCATTATTGCGTGAATGTTGGATATTTGTTTTACATTTGTTTGCGTACGTGGATTTCTCAGTGCCATTGTCGATAAGCGCTGGTTTATGTAGAAATATGGCTGTTAGGAGGAGGGGCAGGAGGGCTTCTGTCTGCCAGGGTGGTTGTTTGTGCTCTGAGGATGGAGAAGATTGTCAGACTGTCAGCTTTATCGTCATGTATACTGGGAGTTCACAATTCTTGTTCCTCTGCGTGGTTTGACTGGAGACAGGTCCCACGTCTGGGGTATCTTAGTCTGACTCAACAGATGTTTCAAAGGAAAAGTAAAGATCTCCATCCCTGTTTCTGAACTAGCAGATGGGAGACTGAAATAGTGTGACCCTTTAATGCTTCACCTTCACTCCCACATTGTGACCATTCAGCTGACTGCAGCCTGCCTCCCATGAGGCCTCAGAAGAAATAACAGCAGATGCAAACTGTCACATTTGAAGGTTTAAACTGAAAATATAGAGGACCTAAGAAATAACCTCCTTACATTGTGTCATATTCACAGTCTGTTTGTGGGTTGGAAACTAAGTAGTAATAGGAGAAGAATTTTACTGTTTTCAATAATTTTTCATAATTATCTCATAACATACAGACAGCCATGATTTTTTTTTGTTCTTAATTAGCCATTATGTCTTTGTAAACTCACACATGTTGTCTTACCAGGTTGAACATATTAAACCTTAAAACAAAAGGAAATGCACTCATTTCCAAAGCTAGATTACGTGCTTTACACTTCTTTTCAGGAGATGATTGGCATCATCTTCAGCTGTTTCTTTTAATTATTTTTTAAGCATGTTTTTAGTCTATACAGATCTGTAACTTATTTTTATTAGTTTAACTTACATTTTTCCCCTTTAAAAATATGGCTCTGGTTTGGACAGATGACAAACCACACACAGCCTTACAACGGTCATGAGATTTTACCGCAAATATCTCTAAACACTTGAAAAATTAATGAATTCAGTATTGTCACTTTTTACAATAATTAAATGAGTAAAGAGAAAGGACAAAGCCATGAATAGATAAATATAAAAAAAATATTGAATATTAAAAATTTAAAATATTGAGATTGTTTTTTAGTTTTCTCTGATCCAAAGTATGGGAGTCATATTGTAATGTTCAGCTCCAACAGCCCTCTGTGTTTGCAGCTGCTGTAATTTTCCATCATTATGCAGAAAACGTGGGTATATTCCACTAGTTCCCTTGTTTGACATGATCCAAAGGGACTATTTAGCATGCTTCAGTTTGCTAAAAGTAAAAGAGGTTTAGTAGGCAATTCTTCTGTGTCCCTGAACAAATAACAAAAACTGCTGACTTTTAAAGGCGGCCAACGAAGCAGTTTATCCTCTGGCATCAACATGGCTGCCAGCATAATTTTATACAATGAATATGGATGGTATACAACTGGCCTATGTGTAAGAAAGAAAATAATTCAATCTAGAGTCAGTCCTTTTTTTAAATTATTTTAAATTTTCAGTGTATACGTTAGATTAACTACAAATAATAGTATACTGAATATTAAATGTGGTCATGTGTTGGTAGTTATTAGGATTTCTTTGAAGATGCATGGCTCCAGATATATTGTTTGTTTTGGGTTTTTTTTTAAATAATTAAAAAAAAAATTTTTAAATGTCTTCAGCAAAATCATTTGGTGTGTGTGTGTGTGTGTGTTGTTCATAAATCAGAAGGTGATGTTCAGAAAAAAAAAAAGAAGCACTTATCCAATTCACACTCACTGGGGGCATGGGTGTTGACCCTATTCCAGCTGTCATAGGCCAAGAGGTGGGGTACAGCCTGGAAGGTTGCAAGTCCATCACAGGGCTAACACAGAGATAGACACCCATTTTTGCATTCCCATTTACAGACAGTTTCATATTACCAATTACCCTAACTGTAGCTACTACACATCATTTGACATCATAATGGTGTGGGTCCTTTCAGGAGTTTTTATTCCTTAAGCTGATGAATTAAAGCAAAATTGAGATATAGAAGAAATACATTGACACAGTGAGAGGGCATCAGCTGTATTCAAAAAAAAAAAAGAAAAGCATTATGCTAACACAATGTTTTCAACAAAATATTCAGTCTTGCAGGATAGTGACAGTAACTCGGGCTGGGTAAGATATTATCAGATATTAATATGTAGGATTGTGCATCAGTCAACTTAGCCTCCTTAGATTTCCTGTTTGTGTATGGACACTTAGGTTCAGGTTCTAGTCTTCCCTCATTGTCGTGTTTCTTCCGTTAATCACAGTTGTACTTGCTTGCATGATCAATCAGTCTTTCATATACAGATATACACATAAACTTTTAGGAGTATAACATGTTAGTGTTTTAGTGAAAATGCAGTTCTGTGTTAATTTTAGCTAGTTTGACAGTTTGCTGTGTGTGTGCAGTTAAACAGGATTACCTCAGTGTATGAAATTGAAGGTGAGCTCATCCAGATGGAACAGTGACTACTAAGAAGTGTGGGAAAGGTAGAAAACCACATAGTGTGAAGGACATACCTTCATGTTCGACAATTTCATGCACACACACAAACACATAGTGGCGTAAAGGGTGAAGTAAAAATTGTGTGTTACCTTGTTTCAGCTGGAATTAATTTGTGTTACTACCATATATCTTATTAGACAGACTTACTGGGAGAATGGTAAAACAGGCAAAGTTTCTGGGGAATGTTAATACAAGGTCTGTGACATGACACAAACTGTAGCCACCTGTATGAAGTTCCTTGCTACATACCCATTTACCATCTCCAAATTTTGCCTCTCCATAACATGTGGTACACTGGCACTAATGATGTCACAATATCCACTTTCATTGAAATGACCTGTGGCTTTGACTGTAAGCCTTGTTGCTGCTGGGATCCAAGTTAAGGTCTGTCTAAATATCAGCCCCTCTCGGTGGGATGGAGTGTCACACAGTCAGTAGTGTATACAATTAAACTCTACATTATAATTTGTTGCCATGCATGCTGATTGATACCTTGTGTGTTGCTGAGGAATGTTATCTCATGTAACCATCCGTGCATATGGGTATGAGACAAATTAAATGGCATGTCTACAATGCTGTGAAGTAAGAAAAATAATTTTGTACATTTAAAATGGTACTGGTTAAAAATGGTCATTGCCTTCTTAGTGTGAATGCTAAAGGTGTGTTTACTGTGTTGCAGGGGACCAACTTTGGACTTGACTCTTCACAGTACAAGTACCTACTAGACCCACTGCACCGCAATCGCTGCTTCTGCCGCTGTACATGGCAATATGGAAACCATCACCACTGACTGGCTTGTCTATCTCCTGAGAAGTGGTGCCTAAAGATGAAATCTTCAGTGTTTTCTTCTTCAGTCCAGTGATTGTTTACAGGACCTTTTTGAGGAATATATTTCCATACTGTGAGGAATATTTCACAGATTTTCTTTCACCAATTTGGAGGAAACTGATGGCTGCTACAGTTCTACTGGATGCTTTGCAGTGCTTTGGTTTTAAAACGGATCATTAGCATCCACAACCCTCATTTGCTCCGGAGTTACCAATTTCCTTATACCTTACTTTTGTATGAATGTCAGTTTTGTGATTGTGTTTGTGTTTGCATCTGCATGGTATAAGTGAGAAAAAGGAAATAAGTAGTTTGTTTCACGAGCAAGAACTGGCCAAAAACAGAGAAAGCAAACAAGTGTAAAACGTGGGACAGCAGCCATGTTCGAGTGGAGGCAGCATTCGAGGATTGGATGTCGGCTACTTCAGAGTGCTACATGTGGGAGCAGAAGCATGGGATATGTAGGTCTAGAAGGTTCCTTAAAGGCTGGCTGGTGGGTATCCACTCTAATATGGCTGGGATTGCTGCTTCTGCAGGCATGTCCAGCTGTTGTGTTAGCTCAGAAACTTGATGAGAATGACCCAATAGTAACCACAGCCAATGGCAAGCTTCGTGGTATCAAGAAGGAGCTGAACAATGAGATCCTGGGTCCTGTCATACAATTTCTGGGCGTTCCATATGCCGCTCCACCTACTGGTGAGCGCCGCTTTCAGCCACCTGAGCCAGCGGCACCATGGCCTGACATTCGCAATGCCACACACTTTGCCCCAGTGTGTCCCCAGAGCATCGTCGAGGGCCGTCTGCCAGATGTCATGCTGCCAGTGTGGTTTACCAACAGCATCGATGTGGTGTCTACCTACGTCCAGGACCAGAGCGAGGACTGCCTCTATCTTAACATCTATGTTCCCACTGAGGATGGTGAGTTTGCCTGCAAGCCCAGGGTAGGATGGCTGAGTACAGAGGGAGGTGGGGCAGAGAGAATTAAACCCACAACCTTCTGATAGAGGAAAAAAAAAGTGTTGTTGGGGTGTTTTGTTACTATGTGAGAGTGAATTTCTGTTTCTGTCCTTGTATGTCTGTCATTAGAAGGGAAAGCATGACCTTGTGCATGTTAAATGTGCATGATATTTCTTATACTACATGAATGTGCAAGAGTGACGTGTGAAAGAGAGAACAGTGTGCATACTTTTAATTTCACTCCACATCTGCCTCAATATTTTTTCTTCCACATTCATTCTTTCAGACTTTTTGAACAGATTTTCCTCTCAGCTCCTCTTTTTTCTAATTTCTTTATTTGCCCTGCTCTGCAGGCCCCCCCCCCCCACTCTCATGTCTGCAGCTCATCATAGCGTATTGTGCTCATCCACAATGGCTACAGTTCATTAAACAAGACAGTTGTTGTCATGATCATCACCGATTGATTTGGCTGACTGGCTGAATGACTGGCTGGCTGGCCGACTGATAGAGTGAATACTGCTCTGATTGAGCTGGTGTTATTCATTCTTTCCCCCTGTCTTTATTTCTCCCTTCCTTCCTCTCCAAGTCTTTTTCAGTCAATCAGCGCTGCGTGAGTGTTCATGTGTGCGTGTGCATGCCAGCTCCTGTGTGCACTGCGCGTCCAGGGGCTCCATGTTATTCTTTAGTTTTCTATTCATTTTACAGTCAAAAGAATATCCAAGGAATGTGCCAGGAAACCGGGCAAGAAAATATGTAGACAAGGAGGTATGTATGATCTGACTCCAACCTATACAATGCCACAGAAAGAAGAACACCCTGCAAACAGGAAGAAAAAAGAAGAGCTATATGTTACAGCATGAGAGAGAGAGAGAGTGAGAGAGAGAGAGAGAGAGAGAGAGAGACTGAGCGAGAGAGACTGAGATGGAGAGAGAGATGTGAAATCAAGGTCTACAAGTTATTAGAGTCTTTACTCTGCTGGTTTTTAGAATGCTGCAATTAAGAGACTGGGCCTTTTAAAACACTACCTGAAAGTGAATTTAGGGCCAATTTAAAAAACATTAAGAAGAAAGTGAAAATGTCAGAAGCAGTATTCTCACTGAACACAGCTACTGCATTTCAGAAAGTATAAGTGCGCACATCAGGAAATACTTTTTTGTCATTTGTCAGGTCTTGTAAAGACCCTCTGATATACTCAATGTAATAACAGCAACATACTTGCATCTAAAACCCTGAATAAGACAAGTAATTTGCAGACCTTGTGATGGTGGATTGATGTGAGGTGTGTTGCACCACATCCCCAGTACTCATGTGTGCTCGCGTTGGTCAGCAATAGTGGGGGATTTGATTGGCTGCCAGATCATAGGTCAGGAGGTGTGCAGTAATTATGGCTGATGTGTCACAAGATAGCAGCATATTAGATCATACACACTGTCACAAACACACATGCACACACTCACAATGATGTAGTTGTATGCAGTGTTAAATAAGATGAGCTCAGGCTGGACCTTGACTGTGTAATCTCCATTAAAAGAAAGCAGAGCTATGTTCTGGTTGGCTCTGGCTACTGTATCAAGCGCTGTTTCATCAAGATAATGTCCTCCACCTCCTCTCTGTCTTTCTCTTTTAGCCTCTCCCTTCTTGGCTGTGTGTGCACTTTTTTTCTGTATAGATATTTTTGAGTCAGAGTGAGTGACAGAGAGAGCAAAAGCGAGAGAGGGGGAGAGATGTGCTGACAGCGTCCTTGATAAGTTCTGGGTGTTAATGTCATTGTCTTGGCAGCAGTCAGCATTATCGCTTATTGTATATTTCCTTTTTTCGTACTAAATAGATACGTGCACATTATAAATTCACTGCTCTTCTTCGCCTCTAACATGTTACACATACAAATACACTGAAAGGAAATGCACTGACAGATTACAGAAGCTTATTTAATGTTCACACACCATGGAAAAATCATAATTCAGAAAACAAGATTTTGTGATTTGATAATAAAGGAAGAATAGCTGTGAAACACAGTGTATTGCACAGAAAAAGAAAAGCAAGATCGCAGAAATGTCCCTTAGTTACAGGAGAAGTTGCTTTCCTTGAGTTTGTTTCTGTGTCTGCAGTTTGCCACCCAGTAACTATGCACAAAGTTGAAAATAACAATAATTATTTTACAGTATACAAGAAGACACATTAATTTAGATATTCAATACATGGAAAAGCCCTAAATAAAAGTGACATGAAGAATACAGATCCTAAGACAATACTCTATGGTCTATAGAATTAAACGTTTTTTTTTAAATATATTTTTTGTTTTTTATATTTATAAAATTGATAAAAGTGAAATTTTAGCCTTACGTAAAAGGCACAGGTCGGAAGCAATTTTTTAGAGACTAAAAAGTGACATTTATCGACCAGAACTTAGTAGTCTTACATCCTAGAGACATCACTTCTGACTGGTAAATTAAGTGTAACTTTTAGAGACTGAAGTGCTCAACTTCATGTTTTAAAATTATATTATCTTTCAGAACAATACATTATCTAAAGCAGTATGCCTCAATTCTGAAAATGTTAGTACATCAATTGCTTACTTGTTTTCCCGAATAACATTTTATGCAAAAAACCCCAAAACAAAACAAGAAAAAAACAATTTTGATAAGAGATGATGCCATGGATATCAGCCGATCCAAGCAATCCATCTAAGTAGATAGTCAGTATTCATGTAGTTCAATCACTGTGACATGGGAAGAAACTGTTGGAATTCAAGTAATTTTACTGTCTAGTGTAATCTGTAAGAAGTCATTATTCTAAAGATTTAATTTCACTATTTACATTTTGTGCATAAACATCTAAACTGAGGTCTGAATGATGGAGGGTCACTCATTTTTCGTCTTCTGCTACTGGCCTGCGATTTACATTTGACTTTTTATTTATTGTTAACCAAACACATCTTCCCCAACTATACCTTTTCTATAGTTTGTCATAAGAATGGGTTTCCCATAATGTTAGCCATATTGAAATCTATTCGCAATTAAATTGAATATAATGAGAATTTTCAAACCCAAGGTACTGAAGAAAAAAAAATGGCTTTATAGTGTCATTAAATGTTGACATTCTTACGTGGCAATAGTTCTCTGTGCACGACTGTGCTGGGCAGTTGAGCCTGGGTTGAACACCAAATCGTGTCTTGCTACTGATGCTAACCACGGACATCCAATTGAAGTCTGCACTTTTCAGATGAATATTTCTAGGCAGAAATGACTAAAATGTACCACACGTTTCATTTCTCAGGAATCATGAACATGTATTGGGATGGTGTTCTTCAGTACATGTGCATGGCTTCTATATTCAGATATTACAATTAAAGTGTGCGTTGTTGAGTTACTAGCCATGCTGTCCAGGCTGGGATATCAGTTTTACAGCATCAGATAATGTTTTCTGGTACATCATTAGAGTCTAATGTCAGTTCCGCAGTGATGGTGGTGGTTTACTTTAAAGAGGCAAAAGCTATTTCAGTGGATACTTTTAGAACTTGAGTCATTATCAGTGACACAGTAGTGCAGTGTACTCAGTGGTGTGTGGGGTGAGTGGATAGATTATGGTGAGTGACTAGGTAATTTCATGGCTAGATGTGTGCAGCCACAGTGATGGATTTTATAACATGTTTGGATAGGAAGTGGAAATGGGGTATTATTAATAAAATCAACTATAATGTCTTCATACAAGTGACATATTGACAGGCAATACACTACAAATATTTTGTGATAAAAAGCACATTTTAGCTCTCAAGTTTTTCCAAAGGAAAATGATCAGGTGCACCTGCAGAATTATAGTGAATATGTGAAACTTAGGATTTCATCTGCATAGGTGAAAATTTGGAGGGCAATCTTACAGCGTTCCCAAATGCTTCAGCATCCACTGATCAATAACTACACGGTTGCTGACAGATCTGTAGATAACTTATGATGCACAAAACACATCATGGAACATATACACTGTTTATTTTCGGTTTTAGTTCCGTAACAGTTTGTATAACACTTATACCTTCAGCTAACATGAAATTCTGATGTGCTTTTGTTAATGGCTGTTCTCCACACCATCATGGAAGACTTCTTAATGGACAAAACAAAGAAAAACTGTATGACTGAGGTGATTAGAAGGAAAGCTAGCGATGGAAAGCTATGAAGACATATGACTGTGTTAAAGAAGAAGATATGGGGTAGTATTAGAAAGACAGACAAAAACAAAGTAAGAGCAGGACACACGCAGCCAAACAATAGAGCAGCGGTGAAAGTGAAGAAGGCAGAGTGTAATTGCTGTGGGATTTGCCTCTTTGTCCACATAAGGACTATTGTACTGTCCTGTGTCACACAGGTTCAAAGAAATCTTCTGTGGTTAAAAGTAGTGCTTTTTGATGTCTCTGGGATGGAGTATGACCATTAAGTTATCACATGCTGGGATAATGGTTTCTGTGTTGAGATCAGAGGTAGCAGCTCTGTGGTTGGTCTTCGTTCTCTGTGCATGCATTCACAATTCATTTCTGAAAATGAAATAAATGAATATGAGTGGCTTGAAATTCAATTATGGAATTTCAGACTTGGGTTAAGTAAAACTCATTCTGATGCATGAGTCAGATGTATTTATGGCTATGGAGGGCCAAGCCTTCAGTACGTTTGGGGGAAATGCTCTTTTTGCTGCATAGAACACACTCAATACCAACTCTGGGGGGAAAAAAACAAAAACCTTTTTTGATAAATAAGATAAATCTGTAGACTTTTTAATGATTTCCAAAAATGAAAAAACAACAAGGAAACAAAACAAAAAATAAATAAGATAATGCAGTTTGCAGTTTGAAGGAAACACTGCAGGACAAAAATTTTTTTTTCATTTCTTATTGCCTGTTATATATTTTTACTACTCTTCACATAAGGCCAGAGCTGACTCAACTGTGTGGGTTGTCAAAAGACATCATGACTACAAGCACAAGCCAATATGGAAGCAGATGAGATGCGGTGAAGGTAATATTATTTAACACAAATCTTTACATTTCAATCCATAAGAACAAATGTCTTAAACTCACATGCTGACAATATTAGCACAGAACTGTGTCACAATACTGAAGGTGTTGTTTCTTTAACAGCATGTGGCGAGACTGTCACTTTGTTGCTGCTTCAGTGCCTTAAATGCATCTCATTGCATATGACACTTTAGCTATTACTGACAAAGTTGAGTAAAAGTTTTCCTGCCTGACCAAAGATTTGCTGAAAGAAAATGTATGGGGCTGTAAGCACTGAAAATTTGCATTGGCAGTTTTGAATCTGGACAATACTAATTTGTACAAGTTTAAGCTGTCTTGATGTTAAATGATCAACTTGCACTCTGAATAGAGCATTTTATTTAAAAGGTCATAGCGCTTTGCTTACCATGTGAGAAAATAAACTAGCTGCACATGCTTTGTAATTCATAGGAAAGTTGGTTCCCAAATACACAAATAATGTTTTATTACTAACAGCGATGGTACAGTATTGGCACCACTGCTAAGTGCTGTTAACTTTCTTCCACTTATTATATTCATGGTGGCAGGAGCTTATAACTGTCCTAGCGTGAGACTTGTTACACTCTGAACACATCACCGGTCTGTCACAGAGCTAACACAGACAGAAAAACAACCATTCACTCTCAGATTCACACCTATGATTAAGTTTAGAATCTGAGAATCTAACAGAACCCCACACATGATGTTGGGAGGAAGCCAAAGTACCCAGAGAGGCCCGTCACAG